GTTTTGGTATACTTTTAGCTATAACTTTATACATGCGGCACGCATGGCAAAGCTTTCAAAAGCTCTCTGCAAAATTTATATACAACTAGTAAGAAAAAAAGTCTATCGGTCGACAACACTTTTATATGCACATCTTCACAAAGAATAGCTCGCTTAAGGAGCTTTTTAGGGAAAGCTTTTTTTAATCTTCAGACTTTTTCGGTCCTGCAGAAGTGGAAAAAATTATATGAATTGAAGTGTTTCGTACAAAAATTTGTCTACTCGCAAGGGCATGATAACTTTCCGCAAACAAAAATTATTCAAAATCGACTATCGATCACTTTAAATTACAAATCAATTATATATCTATACCTAAAATCCAATTAATTTAACCTTACCAATATGTATTTATCTGAAAACCGATTACTTCTTTAAAAAAAAGTTAACCTATAAATATACAAAAAAATATAGCACGAGTAACCACGGCGCGTAAGAAAACTAGTAAAGTGGAAAAGCAAAAACCGAATATGTACAAATATATGTATGTAAGTATTCATGTATATTCGCTTTGTATTTAAATATTTGTGTGAACATGCAAAAACTGCGCAGCGTGGTTACTGCATTTATAAGGCACTTTTCTAAAAGTAAATATCCGGGTGAGTAAATGTATGTATGTATGTATGTATATATTTTGTATGTATTTTATATAAATACAGTAAATATAACCAAAAGCCAATCCCTTTATAACTAAAACTAATAAAACTATTACATTAGGGCGGATCATATTTTTTTTTTACTATGCGCGTACAGCATAAGAGGATTTACGTGTAATTCTAAGCAAATTTGCAAAAGAAACAATGGAAGGTGGAAGTTTTAAGAAAAAGAAATGCATTTCTCATTTTTATACAAAATTTAAGCACTTCTTTAATACACTACAAACAAATTAAAAGAAAAAAACTATGTATTCGGCAAACCCGAATCTTATTTTAGACCCATGTTTTCACGCCAAATTTGCTTAGAATTGCATGTAAAATCCTTCTAGGCTATACGCGCAAATTCGAAAAATAGCCCTATTGTACATATTAGTTGCAATTTATTTATATTTAGATATAAATTTATCTCAGTATTTTAAAAATTTCAAATTGTAAGATTCATTTTATAAGACTAAATATTAACGTGTGTGCGCACATGTCGTGACACTAATCTCTACACTGAGAAAAAAGTTTAGTTACGTCAACTAAGTAAGGGGATACGTATATTTCTCTCAACATACCGTATGTAGCTACGAAGTCTTGGTTATATGTATGTCAAATCTTGTGTTGATAAAAAACTATTTAGTCGAAATAACAAACCCTTTTCTCAGTGTATGTATGCACGTACAAATAAAGGTAATTAATCTACATATTTGCTTTTCGTGCTGGGAATGTTCCAACCTTTACAGCGTGCATATGTCTTTTTACAAGGAATGATTTCAAATGTTAGCATGTATGGGTATAAATGCATATACATATATGTATGTATATTTGTATTTATGTAACAAAGGTATTTCTCGTTGTTTAAAGCAAAGAATTTTCCGCCTGAGGCCTGCACTATGCGTGGCAGATCTCTTGATAGCCATCGAAGCAAAGTGCGTCACAATGTCAATCTCAGAAAATTTCCGAGCTTTGCTTAGAGCTGAGGAGCGAAAAGTGAGTGAAGTGTTACTCGCTGTATTCTAAGATCTAGATATTTATTTTATTACTCTGTGTATTGAGTACTGATGCTCAGTGAGTATCAGTGGAAGTAGTGGTCCTCTAATAAGGAATACTACCAAATTGACCTCCTAACAGGGGGGCTAGTTGGAAATGCCCGACTTGCAATTGCAGTTTCAAAAATTAAGTGTGCGAGCGAAATTTCGCAAATCATTGCATATATACCGTTATCACAAATATCTAGGCAAATATAGTATATGTAGTATGTATTCGTTGTGATCTTTGCATGTGCACGTATGTACATATATGAATGCGTTCATGTGGGTAGTGAAAAAGAATCGTATGTACATATGTTATGCATTTGTGCCACCGTATATGTGTGTATGTATGTATGAGCATACATATCGCACCCTAAACAAAGCCAGTGACAACCAGACACCGAAAACGCGTTTCGAGTTTGGTTCAGTTCTGCCAAAACCAAACGGGAACAATAGTATTGAGAGCAGTTTCAACGGGAACAAAATGAGAATGAAAATAACATTCCCAAAAAGAACAGAATAATAACGAAACTTTCGGGAATGTTTCCAATGAGAACAAAGTGAGAACGAAAGTATCAAGAACGTTTTCAAGGAGGATCAAATGAGAGTAAAAGTTTGGGGGAACGGTCTTCAAGGGGGAAAAATTACAAAAAAGATCAGTGCAGCGCCGTCGTCTTAACCTGGAGGCTGTGTCGGAGTTACAGCCGCTAAACTTAAACGTAGAACACTTGATATTATTAGTTCGGCACATTTAATTTTGTTCTGAAGCAAACAGCGGATGATATTTTTGCCTCCATACGAAACTATGATTTTGGAAGCAAAATAACGCGTGGAATTCATTGCAAAACGCATAAAAAAGATAACGCGGGTTGGGATGAAAAATCGTTTCAGTGAGAGCGATGACTGTTAATTCTAAACCAGAGGAAAGCTGGATTATTTAAACTTCCAGATCGTTTATGATTAGGGTGAACAGTCCATTTATGGAACAACTTTTAATTTTCTGTGCAAGAACAGTTCGTTATTAAGTCTTTCGTTGACTTTATTTTCATAATTATCTTTCAGTTCGTTTTGGATTAATTTTAATATTCAAACATTTCTAACTAATGGAACGCTATGTGAAAAATTATGTTCTCGCTTCCATCCCTCGCGAATATTTCAGAGAAAATTTGTTCCCGTTTCGTTCTCTGTCAGAAAGTTCCTTAGGCATTTGAGCCCGTGTCAGAGAGTTACGAAGACTTTTGTTTCGATTTCGTTTTCTCAGAAACGTTCCCGAAAGCACTGCTCGCGTTTTGTTCTCATTGCGAACGCTCTACAGGGGTTTCTTCTTATATAATTCCCGTTCACTTTCGTTCTTGTGAAAACGCTCCTTAAGGTTTTTTTCTCATTTCGGCTTGGGTTTTAAGCTAGCAGAACTACGAAAACGATATTTAGTTTCGATTAATTAAATTTTTCAAATTTAATTTTTTCCCCATAAAATAATTTCACGGACCATATTTCTATCGTTCGCCAAAATTTCTTCACATCAGCTTTTTCTTTAACTGGAAAAACACTACTAAGACTATTTTGGTTATCTTGCGTTGCTTGCGTAACATCAACATCCTGAAGACTTGGAGGTTTTTTGAGTTGTCACTGTTTCTGATTTCGGGTGCGATATGTATGTAGCTGTTTCTTATAGGCAGCATACACGCGGTGAGTCTGACTCGCGAGTCATTTGTGTGCGTGTTGACTCGCCTTCGACTACACACAGTAGAATAATTCGGAGTCATTCCAGGAGTCATGTCGGTGTAACTAACACATATGTATTTATTTTCACAAATACATCCAAACCGACTCACGATTCAGACGCACGATGTATGCCGCCTATTACAAACATCGCCCCTTTTCTGGTATTTTTTAATAGTATTATTTTTAATGAAAAGTTTTCAGTGTATTTCTAGGTATGCTATCAATGTGCATACAAATTGAGATTTTTTCCTTTTATTTTGTTTTTGAGAGTTTCAATTTGTGAAAAAAATGTTTGCGGCAAGAACTTGACTAGACTTTACAAACAAAAAACGGAGTATCTCAACATATATGCATACATATATGTAGATGTATGTCTAAGTATATAGGTATGCAAAAATATGTATTTTCTTCATACAGATGTATCCAACAAATAACGAAAATTATTAACTACCAATGGAAGTTCTTAGTGCGTTTTCCCAACCTACATATCTTATTGGCATCAAAAAAAGATGAAATTAGGAAAGCAGAAATGGCATTGCACTTGAGGTCATTTATGTATGTCGGGATTAAGCACTTTAGAAAATTAATTTAAAATTTCACAGTAACCAGTATGGAAGATGCAAAAGTCTTATCTTGCTTAAATGCTAAACTATAGAACCAATAAAATATGCATTTGTAATCACTGGACATAAGTTGCTTACTATAGTGCTGCTTAAACTGTCGCGACCTTATCATATATGCATCTCTTATTCGTAATATGTAGCATACTTTAGCGCCACAACGCATGTCCTTTCCATTGAGCCCTAAGCTATGCTACATAATTAGAGGGGTAAGCATATGATCACACTACTGCATTGCATGAAAGCTCATAATTAGTCGCTTAACGTATGCAAACAAAGCATCTTAAAGCTCAAACAGACGGCAGCGTCAATCCGGATTTACTAAGTCCGAGTTAATCCGGATTAACGCTGCCGTCTGTTTGAGCTTTTACTGTCATAGCTACTCTGCAATATTTCAAAGTATGCAATATGTACGTGAACAAATCCTATGCAAGTGAACATACCGCGCGCTCAGGATTTCGCAACTTTTCACTATAAATTTTTTTAGCTTTAAAAGTAGTTTTATGAAGCTAACTAATAACAAAAAAATTCAAATTTTTTTTTTAAGAAATGTGTTTTACAGATGTAAACATACACGCTGAACTTTTTCCCGAGACAAACAATAACTAAGAAATACAAGTAAACAGAAAGCATCTGTAAACGGTGGATAATGAAAAAATTGCGAAATTACTTTATGCAAAGCTAAGGATCTATAAACAAATTAAAATGTTAGCAAATAGGTTAGGCCATTTTTTTTTTTTTAATTTCTAAATACAATCCGATTACTGTTTTTTTTTTTGTGTGGCAATATGGCTTAAGGCGTAGCGGATAATTTTGGTTTGAAACATTAAAAACATTTAACTGTGTGTCTGTGCATAGTAGGCTTCGGATTGGCTTGTGTACGTAAATTAATTTGACCAACTTTGGTTTACTTGATTTTTAGTAGGGATAATAAAAGTGTGGCCTACCTAAGATAGCGCCAACAATCACTTCTGGAATTTCAACATTTTTGGTATCCTTTGCACCCAAATCACCCGGGGTGGGACTCTTGCTCAAGCCACTCAGCGCATGTTGTGCGGCAGTTAAGCTTTGCGCTGTTGTACCCGTGGTACCAGTTGCAGCAGTCAAACCGAAACTATTATTATTCAGTGAGACCGGTGTTGCAGCTTGTGCCGCTGTGGCGGCTGTAGTGCCCAAATGTCGGAACGGATCGAATTGTGCGGCTGCAGCCGCTTCCAGCTGCGACTGCGTCGAACGGCTGGCAGCTGCTGCAGCAGCAGCGGCCGCTGCCGCTGTATACTGATCCAAATTTACTTGACCCACTGCACCGAAAACGTTGCCGGCAGTAGCTGCTGAGGCGGCGGCAGCTGTCTGCTGATCCAGCGCCGAAACACCCAGATAGCTGCCGAGTGTGGTGGTGCCATTTGCATGTGGTACACCAACGCCCATGCCCAAAACGCCATACTTGGCGAGCACGCCTAGAGCGGCGCACACTTCGTTGGTGGCCGTCTCTGAGTAGCCGGAGCCGCGTAGAGCAATCTAGAGAGGTGAGAGAGATAGAGATGGAAAATGTTAAATAAAACGTCAAGTAATGAGTATAAGTTAAAAGTGCTGTCAGATGGCGGAATATTTCCAACTTTTCCACGCAATTCGCTGTCAAATTGAGAAAGAGAAAATTAATTTTCTCGTGCAAACGGCCAGAAATATATTTTGGTCGCTTTCCGGAAATTAGTTTCAGAAATAAAAATTGCAAGGTGTTACCACATACAACGGAAAGAACGCAAATCGCTTTCGAAAATATTTTACAACTTGCTGGTGCTACCCTAGCATTTTTAATTTTTACTGCAAGTGCTGTCAAACCATTCGAATGCTGCCCTGTGACACTGATCGCGAACTTGTGAGAAATAATAAAGCATAATTTTGAATACATTAAAAAAGCTGCTTGTAATTCATTACGCTGTAAGACAAAATAAAAACAAATGTATGTCTAAGCAAGCTAAAAAATCTGCATACTCTGAATTTTGAATTGACCCTCCAAATCTGGAGATAGCGCCCAAAAACCCAATTCGTTGGAATATTTTTCACAAATTTTTTTTTTTTTAGTATGTTACCGCATAACTTTGGACCACGTTAATCGATTTCTATAATTTTTTTTTTTTTAAAGGAAAGGTGTTACCTGACAGGTGGTCCCATAGTAATTCGGGTTTCAAAGAGCTATAAATTTAAAAAATCCATTAATGTTTGGCTCAGATATACTACTTCTAAAACTACATACCGACGGCTGAGTGTGACATTACTACGTTCTTGAGTCATTTTCTGAGATAGGGCGCTTTCAAACCGGCTGCCGAGATAGATCGATCTGCCACCCAGCCGTTGATATATACTGGAAAATATGCGTACTATGATTGCTGTGACTTATTGCACAATGGCAACAATTTCATGAGTCGTAGAGAGAAGAAAAGAGGCTTATTCATCGTCAAAGTAGCAACATGCGTACTTTTGAATGGCATAGAACTTTTTGATCGAGTAAAAAAAAATTAAGTTGGGAGCCTCAGCCTATCAAAAATCGGGTTTCGGGCGGTCCTAAGTCCAAATTTGGAGGGTTAATTCAACATTCTTAGTATGTAGACTTTTTTCTGTTTGGTAAGGCCTATGTACATACATATGTACAGCTTCAACTATATCGCACAGAAAATATATTTTCACTGTCAGACAATATTATTTTTCGAAATTTATTTGTTGAGTTATTAACAATAAATTAGTCCTCAAATTGAAAGTAAAGTTAATTATAACCAAGAGCAATAAAAAGAACAGCCGGTACCGCGTTTCATGGTTGCATTGTAGTATCGATAAAGATTGCCAAAAATTCGTATGCTGCGCGAGCTACCCAAAAGTGTTTTCAGAAATTTGTCATGCAATTCGCCTTTCGAAAACAAATACAAAACTTTCGAAATACTCTTAATTGCAACTTTTCAATTGACTTCTGAAATTTCTCAATTTGACAGCCTTTTCGAAATATTTTGCATTGCCACGTCTGACAGCACTTTAAGTTGCAAAATTTAGTTACTGCCAAAATACCTTGATGTGTTCAAGTAATTGCGTGGCCACAGCCAAGTTGGGTGCTGGATTTGGTGAACCCAAATTTAAGGATAAATTGATGCCGGTGCCATTTACCAAAAGACCTGCAGCTGAGGCTGCGCCGCCGATAGTTTGTCCCAGTGTGGAGTTCAATGAAGCGGTGCTCGTATTAATGGCGTTCTGATTGGTGGCATACGGCGAACCGGTCGGATTAAAGTTGGCCACAGGACCGCTAATATCGGCATATGAGACATTAAGGCATGTACCGGACTGTGGATCCTCAACAATCTTGGATAGTATCATCTTGCAAGCGGCTTTGTTGTTCTCCTTATCACCAATGATGGTGATACAACGTTCCTGCAGTGAAATGTCCTTGGGTTTCTGTGAAATCTGCACATACGAGCCGCTCTCCTCCTTGATCTGCTTGATGAAAGCACCACCCTTGCCGATGATCATACCGGCTGTGGAATTGGGCACCAAAATTTTCACCTGCTTATCACGGTCCTGATTCTGCTTGGAATCCGTATCTATGATCTTAGTTGTAAGATCGGGCTTCTCGCGTATTTTATCCATAATAAAGTCCATAACCGACATGATGCCATCCACAGAGCCAGTGATGAGGCAAACACGCTCGGTGGTGCCTACACGTGTGCGAGATGGTAAAAAAAACGCAGTACGAGAATCAATTAGAAAAGTGAGCACTCTTCTTATTTCCATTTTCCACTTACCTGGATAGAAATCATGGGACTTGGACATCTTTACTCTAGCACCGGAGTCTTTCTGCAAAGAGGCGATAGTCTCGCCACCTTTGCCAATGATGGCACCGGAGGCCACTGCAGGCACAAGGATCTTCATGTGATACGATGAATCGCCTGCTTATGCGAATATTGAAACGAAACAAGACATTTAAGAGGAAGAGAGAAAGAGAGAGAGGAAAAAACGGAAAGCACCGAGGCGCGTTAATAAAATATTTGATTAGACAGTGTTGCTTTTGTAATTTGCCTTTTACAAAAAAAAAAATAATATTATTATTTTTATTATTTTTTGTGTAACCGCTGCGTAAGGCAAAATGTTACTTTTTTATATTTCGCTCTTGTGCGCATACGTTACGTTACACAAATACGAGTACATACATATGGTATAAGCAATTTACAATACATACATATCAAATTAATAAATCGTTACATACACAGAAGAGGATTTAAAATTAAAAATAATAACAGTTGCGCTCTCTTTCGCTTCAAATGATTATTCAAATGAATCGTTGGCAGTTCGGCCGAGCTAGGCTGAAATGAGGCGAATAAATGAATGCTGCATGGCTGGGCGAAAAGTGGCGAAATGTATGTGCGTGAGCCGAAGTGGCATGAACTTAATGAAGATGTGCGATTTCGCGCGTTCGCGCCGAAGATGGAGTGAGTGCACGGGGAACATGAGATGCATGAAGTATGGAATGATATGAAAAATATCGAATTTCGCCAATTATTTTATTTTTTGTGGTAGTACATATGTATTTATATTCGTGATATTAGTGCCATAGTTAAAATTATGTACTGTCAGTAGCCCGAAGTGTGGCAATACTCTGCAGATTGGACGATTCGATGAGGGCGACGTCTATCAAAAATTTTCAAATAAAGTTTAAATTTTATTTGAAGCACGGCAAACGCATTTGATGCAAAAATCTCCATTCATTTAAAGCAAATAACGATAAATTAAGAATTAAAATGCACAGTTTAAATTAATATTCTTACGCAGGTATTAATTTTAAGTGCAACAAAATTAATAAACCGAGCTCAACATTTTGAAAGCCACTTTTCAAAATCGCGTGATATGGACTAACGCAAAAATATTGCTTCCTGCCAGACTGTAAAGTTCGCTAAGTCCATCATTGGATTAACAAGAACTTTTAATCTATAGCGGTAATGGGCATCGCCTTGCCCGCGGGCAAAGCTCTTTTAAGCTTTCTATGCATTTTTAATAGAGGCACGCAGAGTAAAAGCTCTACCTGACCATCGCTGATCTACAGCCTGTAGCCAAAGCTTCATGTTTTCTTTAGATTTCATATGAGCGCGCACAGTGCAAAATGCTCTTTCATTCCAGCAGTGGTTTTAGGCAATGAAGCGCCCGCGGGCAGAACTTCTTTAAGCTTTCTGCATAGAGTAAAAGTTCTCTCCAAGCGTCACCGGTTTGAAGCGGTAATGGGCGCCGCCTTGCCTGCGTGCAGAGCCTTTTTGAGATAGCGTGTGTGAGGTGTAAAAGCTCTTCCTGATTATAGGTAGCTAGTTAAAAGTCAATATAAAATATTTTTAGCTATATTTTTGTGCGCTCTGAGCAATCTAGAGATAAGGTGAAAGCTTGCACGTTGTTTTTTTTTTATTATTATTTAGAACATACGAGCATTTTAGTAAAAACTAAGTTTATTTACATACATAAAATTTTTGGAAATTTGTTATAGCTTCTGAGAATATTTGATGGATTTTTGAAACGCCGAAAGATCGAGATCATGAAAGAAAATAAATAAACTAAAGAAAAGCAAACATGAAAAGATAATTCATCAGAGGGGAAGTATTAAAAGTGTTCTTACATGATATGTATTTGCATGTGTACATGCCACTTTTTACATATGGAAATGCCAACATATCGTGTAAAGGCAAATTAGATAGAAATGTTTTTATTTTCATCTGACACACAGATAGAATCATCTGAGTTTAGTTTATTTTTGTTTTAAAGAACGTATTTTTAAATAGTTAAATAAAGACTGTGAATTTGATAGACATACGCAATTACATATGTTTTGAAAAAGAAACATTTACAAAAGCAAATACATATCGTGTAAGAACATCTTAAGTAGAAGTAAGCAAATGAAAATTTTATAAATTTTTTTTTTAGAAAAAGGCAAAAAGCTCTTTTAACGGCATATTAGAAACGGTTTTTTTATTAAAATAAATTAAAAGCATTAATTTTGTATCAATTTCAATTTTGTAGGCAGATGAAAGTCGGTTGTAATGATAGTTAATGAATAATGACAAAGCTTACCATGAGAGAAATTGTTATTATTTTCAATTTCAACCTCAATTCCCGAACAAACTGACTCACCTGCAAATAGAGAAAAAGAGAGAGAGAGAAAAGAAAAAACATATTTTTATTAAAATTGTAAAACGTACTTAGTATTTAAATAAACAAGTTTTTCAGACATGCAATGATTTAATGTGTGTAAAAATGATGAATGAAATATTTTTTTTTTTGATATTTGTATTCTTCCATGGTGACGGATCATTATCAACAGAGCGAATTCGATTGCTTAAAGAAATTTAGTTTAAAAAAGTATAGTGTAAGAAGATGTGGTAATTTGCCAAAGGGTAAGGATGCGGTGTTAAAATTTGACAAATCAAAGTAAGAAGTTTCCTGAATTGGTTTGCAAATTGTTTACATTTAATTTAAGATTTTCACTTTTATTTTCTCAAATAATTAGCCAGCCATGTTTACAAATCACACTTGTACCTACGCCAATAAGATGCATTTATAAACCAAAACATTATCTCACAATAAAAATGTAACAAGAAGTTAAGACTATTTTAAATTTACAAAATATAACTCTTTTAATCACCGCAATAGATCCAATGTCACTCTCTTCTCCTTAATTTCCCGCTCACATACATATGTGCCTCTGCATAAATATGCGTACTTAACGAAAAGTAAATAACTTAATTTTTTTCTGACCCAGTCGGTAACATAAGCAGTAAAGGGCTCTTTTAGACGTGCTTTTCGGAAATTTTAAAGCCACAGACGTTATCTACGTGTTAAATTTTTTATGTATGGAATGACCAAAAATTCAGGGTCTTTTTATTGAGGAAGTTGTGTTACTTTTCGTTTTTTTTTTTTGTTATTTGATCCCCGCCCTATCTCTGATCTTTTGAAACGATACGCCTTTCATGCACGCTTCTGTACTCCTTTCTGTTCATATGGAATGTACAGACTTGCAAGGCCATATGATTCAGCTTCCCTTAAAAAGGGAAAATTTACACGAAATAATTATGACACAGTTCAAATTTAACTTTGCACCAGACACGCCTACTATGATTGTTTTCTTATTTGGCTTAAGTTGTTTTGGAAACGCGCCTTCTCGTCTGCTTTCGAATGGCAAGGTCATTGAAAGACTTTCTAATACAGCTTCCAACGAGGAGGTCTCATTGGATAGGTCTGCCTGAAAACGGTTTCTTTTCTTTTATTAGAGCTTCTAAGTAGAAGGAAATATTGAACAAGCCCTACTTAGAAGGTCTCTTAAAATTTCCGCCTTAAATAAACTTTTATTTTGTTTTTTAATAGCCAAAATTCCGCCAAACATTAACTAGACATCTGAAAAATTACACCAATTATTGGAACTTATTCATATAAACTCATAAACTCGCTGAGTTATAGCTGGTTAAATTTTAAACGTTAAAGTCAAAATGTGGTCGAATTTATGCGATTTTAAAAAATCAAACCCTGGTAGCGAGCACTAAATTATTATTTTTCATTGCCTCTCTCGCGTACTATTACTTCCAACTTCGATCGTGACTGCATGAAAGATCAGTGATAGTACTAGTGCCGGAATGCTGGACTTTATGCAGTTCTTATGAATTAGGTGTAAGGGTTTTATTGAGGTTTGAGTTCCATACTTTATTATGAGAAACTATTCAGTGTACTCAAGATAATGATGGCCAAAACGTAATCCATGCTTTTTTCAGCTTACTATAGAATAATTAAATGCGCGCTCACAAAGATGGGCATTTCTATCAATAAATCTGAAAAAAATTATCCCCTTAGCTTTGTATAGAATAAATATTAAGCTCGCGACAAAAGATAGCAGCTCAACATTTTGATCACTTTTGACTACTTTTCTTTTGCCTTTTTTAAAGTTCATTATTTTTTTATTAAAGCATAGCTCTTTATCTAACAAAAACCAAATAAGTCCAAATTTCTAACTCTGTACAAAAATTATAAAAATTTCAAAAAGTTTTCATCTCAATCCAGAGCATTTTAATTAGGATTTCTAAAATAATTTCGATACCCAGTTTTGTAGCTTGTTAAAATTTAGTATAATAAAGTTTCAAGTTGATAAAAAAAAATCCCATTACTTTTGATAATTTTTTCTGACTGTGCTATGCACTTTCTTCCATATGGGCATTTCCCAAAAAAGGTAAACCGAAAATGCAAGTAAATGAAATTAAACGGCTTTATAACTTTATATTTCGTATTCAGATGGCGAAAAGAGGTTTTGAAAACGGGAAACTGTGGAGAGCAGAACTGAAAAAATTAAATTTAGTATGTGTTACTAGTAAAAATATTGTATGGGTGGAAAATTTGTCGCGTCCGATATGTCGCGTCCGTTACCAGATTTTAATTCAAAATGAAATCAACAACAAATTGCTTCTGATTAAAAATGAATTGGTTGTAACGGTCCATAATTAGACTTTATTTAAAGAATGTTTAATAAAGGTAAACCTTACACGATTCGCTGAGTTTTGCTTAGTTTTAACATGTACTCTGAAATCATTTCTGTTTTTGTCGCGTCCGTTATGCCCTACTTTTCATCGATTTTCTCGACTTCCGTGGTACCAAGCGCACCTAGTTTTTTGTCAACCAAAGGACGGTATAAAAGCTACACAACAGCAAATTTTTTTACAAGTGACTTCAGTTTTCGTATGATTTATTTAACTCTAAAGTCGTACGAATGTCGCGTCCGTAACCCAGGAAATACCCATATACAAAATTACTTTGTCATTTCATACACCAAAAACGATAGTAAATACACAATGTCCTGCTGGTTGTATTTTTTAGATCTAAATGCCGCCAGTACACCTACATACTTATATACATACTTACATACTCTTGTTATTTGCCTTCGCACATTATTCTATGTGTACATGTTTCCCCCACCCCCCCTTGCGTCCTTGCGGCATTTTCATTTTTGCCTTCATTTTTTTCACATTGCATCTCTAATTTATGTGTCATCTTGCGCACTTGTGCCCTTCAGGACTTTATATATACACATATCAGTGCAAGTACCCATGTACCTGTATGTACATTGCTTAATTTTTTTGCATTTTTGCAATTTTGTTTTGCTGTCTATTTGTGCTATATCTTTGGTTTCTAATTAGATACAAGTTGTGAACTAAATTCTTTTGAAAGCGTATACAAACTTTGCAAAGCAATGGACGGAGGCCAAAATGTCATTGAACAAATACATATCTAAAGACCTAAATAGCAAAAAGTGTCGAGTGTGATCTAACTAAAAGTAGGGAACTCTCATATGAGCATATCGTCTGCTGAAATGCAAAGAGACGTAACAACGTCGCAAATGAAATGGAAAAAGTCGTGACTAATATTTTAATTTTTTTTCATAAAATCCATCATATAAATCAATAAGTGAATTTCGAATTTTTTATTAGTTATGACTTTTAACATTTCAACGATGATGTTTGTTACGTATTTTTGCATTTCAGGTGACGGTATGTATGTATGTATGTACAAATATTTGGCGTTGAAAATTAAGATAGATTAAGAATTTTAGATATAAAAAAATTTAAAAACTTTCCAAAGCAAATATGAACAAATTTAAGTAAATAGTAAGAGTCGAAAGCCATTGAGTAGGTTGGTGGGAAAGTGTGAATATGTATGTGCTTTAGACTGCATCACTCCCCATACAAAAAACATCGGTACTGTTTTTCCATTGCAATTATAAAATCTATTATATTTTAAGATGTCCACCAAAATATTTCGGAAAAACATTAAGATTTAAGCGAGCTGGACCGATTTGAAAATACCTCCAAAAATGGAGTTGTTTATGAATAAAACTAGTTTCTTAAAGATGTTTTTTGAAAAAATCACCTCAAATTAAAAAAGGGTTTAAGCTTAAAAAATTTACATAAAAACGTTTAAATAAAATAAAATAAAAGAAAAATTTAACGGAATCGTAATAATGAGATTTTTGATGCTATTATTTAACTATTGTTCAAAGATTGGTATAAGAAAAACTGTAATACCTGACCCTAAACTCTTCCGATTTAGGCTTGTGAGATATCATTGAATGTTACACCATGCGACAGTCAATGTTACACACGAAAAAATCAATATTTATGTACATATATTGTAACTATCAATATCTTATAAAGAGAAGTGTAAAATGCTTGTATCTAAAACTAATAAAGTTAAAATGGCGAAATTCGAGGATGTGGTAGTTTACATATTAGTCCTTGACATATATTTTTCAAGAACAAATATTGGAAATTTCCAAGGATATTCAAGGATAAAGTTTTAAAAGGACATTTTCAACACTATTCGTCCTGATGAAGCAAAAAATTATTTTTTTTTCAATTCTACAGAATTTTTTCTTTTTAATTAATACCCATATAGTTACTCTACAGTGCGCCAAATCTTTTAAATAATTTTTTTATTCAAGCATATCGTAGAAATTTCAAAGTACTTTAAAAAATTGCAGACGTCAGAGAGAAAAATTAAAAGCGCATTTATACTATATTTAGCTCCTAGTTTCGTTAATATATTGACTTTTCCGTGTGTTTTAAAAATGTTTGGTTTTGTCGCACGGTGTTATCATTAACATTCCAAACTCATTACAATTAAAACACGAAATAAATTTTTGTTTTTTATTCAGACTACGTTGCATTCTCTTCGATGTTATATTGTTTACTTTGTCGACATCTTATCTGACAGCGCAGCCAACAAGCTATATTGCGTACAGTAATGCATACAAGTTTCTTACCCAAAACAGATCAATGTCAAAACAACGCTTAAAAATTGTGAACTTTAACTCGCAATTTAATATAATTACGCTGCATAGGTTATATCAAGACAACAGATAGGTGATTAAGAGTATTTCCATAATATTTTTACTCACTTTGTGTCTAAGAATTTAAAATATGCCATCTAGGTGTTTTTGTTTCCACATTTTTTTTTTCACAAAAACTCCAGACATCACATCACATCACATCTTACATACATATGTATATAGTATGTATGAGGGATAATTAATGAACTTTTTAATGATCTTGTCAAGTTATGTATTTATGCATATGTAAATATGTATGTTTGTATAT